TTCCCTTCCAAACTCCAGCTCCGAGGGGCTTCCAGCCTCCGTACCTCGCTCTGGGCTCCCCTCCGACGCCGCCTTCCCCTTCTCCAGCCAGAGAGAGAAACAGCCCCCGAGAGAGAGAGAGAAAAGCACAGACCCCCCCGGTCCTCTCCCTACCTCGGGAATGAGCTGGAAGAGGGCGTTGGAGTAGAGAGTTCCAATCGCCAGAGCTATGAAGTAGAGGAGCAGCCGCTTGTAAAAGGTCTTCTTCATGAAGGGCACCACGCTGGCTCCCACCAGCGAGCACAGGGAGATGACGGACACGCAGAGGAAACCGTAACCCCAGACTGAGGCGTGAGAGCCAAACCCACCCCGGGGGAACGGGAAAGGCGAGGGAGGAGATCAAGGCGGGCACGGGGAGGGAAGGAATCCACACCGACAGGACAGAGAGAGGAGGGAGGGAGAGAGGGGAGAGAAGAGGACATTCATTAGTGATTGTTGTTCATCTCGGCTTGGCTCGGACCTGGCGCCGGGCGGCTTTGGGAATGGCTCTTTGGGAAGGGTTGGATTCTTGGAGTGAGCGGCTCTCGCAGCCGGGTTTTGGCAGCCAGGCCGTGTCCCAGCCAGCCCCCAGCTCTGCTCCACGAGCCATTCCCGAGCCACGGAGCGCCCAGGTTCCCTGAGCACCTCGTACGCTCCATCCCCATCCCAGGCCACGCCGGGATGCTCCGAGCGCTGGCGAGGCTGGAGCGTACGCACGGCATCCCGATTCCCGGAAAAATCAGGAATTAGAGGCGCTTGGTTTTTATGTCCAGCGAATAACAGTTGCAGTTCTGGAGTTGAAAGGGAGCCTTGGAAAAACATCCCGCTGCCAAGACGGGTGAGGTGATCGTTGCCCTGGCAATGCCAGGGGGAAAAAAAAAGTGGAATTTTAAGGCTGGATGTGCAGGAGCTCGGATCCAGCTCGTCCTCTACCCGGGAGCTACTTGTGCTCCGAGGAGCCACCTGGACAGTGTTCCAAAGGTGTCCAAATCCGTGTGGATTTATTCAACTCCAGAACTGGGCAATTACAACACAATTAATTTGCAGTATTTCTTGTTGGTCCCATCAGAGCACCAGGAAACCTCAGGGAAGCCTGAATCCTTGCAGAAACATCGGGCTGGGAAATCAGGGAGAGGCAGGGGGGGCCGAATAAAATAAAGGCAATAAAGGACTTGTAAAATTTGGCCGATTCCAGAGGAAGCCGGTGCTGTTCTCCGTGCTTTTATATGGATATTTCCTCCTTTTATATGGATATTTCCTCTGTTTCGCAGTACTCTCCCACTAGTGCTGCCTCCAGCATGGCTGAGCACATCCCTCCAAGGGATAAACTCCTGGCCACCCCAGGAGCAAAGAGCTTCTCCCAGCCCACTCCCACTCCTCAGACCCGGCAGGGCTGGAGGACACAGCCTCCCTGCCCGCTCCGGAGGGTTTCCTGGTGCTCGGAGGGGGCGAGAAAAGCCCCTGAGACGAGCCCTGAGCCTCGGGTGACGGAAGGGACCGGCTGGATTCGGCGGGGTTTGGAGGCAGAGAGGGCCCCAGAGCCGGGAGAGAGGGCAGGGACGTTCTACCGCACCTCTGGGATGAGCTGGAGGAGCGCGTTAGAGAGCAGCGTGCCGATGGACAGCGCGATGAAAAACGTGAGGACCCGGCGGAAAAAGGCCTTGGCGGAGCACGGCACGATGAGGACTCCGAGCAGGGAGGCCACGTTAATCATGGACACACTGAGAAAACCAAAGCCCCACACTGCGGAGAACGAGAAGAAACCAGAGGGGCCAGACATTACCGAGGCTCTCGGAGAGCCCGGATCCGGGCGGGCGGGAAAGGGTTGGCTCCGGGTCTATTCCCGGGCCACGCGGCACCGGAGGGTCTCTCCCCGTGCTCTGGACGTCTCAGCTGCGACAAAACCGTCGTTTTTTTGGTGCGGGGAAAGTGGGAATGAAGCTGTTGGGTTACTTGGAAAAGGCTTTCCTGAGCCAGCCCCAGCGTGGGGCTCAGGGCAGCTGATCCAAGACCATGGGCATCGTCAGGAGCGGGATACGCAGGAGCTGGTTGAGCATCCACAGGTGGCTGGAGGCCAGCGGGTCCCTCCGAGTGCCAGGCCACCCCCTCCCACCCACAGGGACTCATGGCAAGGTCCCCTCCTCATCCAGCTATCCCGGAGGCACAGAGGTTATCCCGGCACAATCCACAGCGAGGAAAACCCGTGGGGATTCCTGCCTGCTGTAGGCAAGGAATTCCCAGGAGCAGGAACCACCTGTGCTGGAGGTCCCAGGGTGCCTCATCGCTCCTGAGCTCCATGCCCGGGCCTGGGCAGTGCCTGTGCCCCTCCAGCTCCCCTCTTACCTTCAGCCGAGCTGGGTCTGCCCTCCTCCGTCTGCTCATTTTCCTCATTTTCCAGGTTTTCGGAGGCGCACGCCCCCGACTCCAGCTGCTGCAGGATGGTGGGGCAGAACTCCTTGAACTCCCTGTGCCCCACGGCAGAGCCCTCACTCAAATTGTGGATGGCAAAGAGCTCCACGGAGCTGAAGCACTGCGGAAGGGAAGGGAACAGGAACGTGCCTTGAGACTCCCACAGCTCCGCAGGGAGGTTTTGGGACCTGCAGGGAGGTTTTGGGGCCCTACCCGGGAGAGGTTCAGGCGCTGCTGCGGTGACTGGGAGATGTTGGCATGTCCCACTCCCACATCCAGGCGATTCAGGAGGGCCTTGAGCTGCTTCAGGCTCAAGGTCTGGCTCTCTCCGTAGCGCTGGAGCAGATCCTGCAGGAAGGAGGCTGCGGAGACTCCCGGGCTGTCCCTGCCCGCCCGGACCCGCGGGCAGGGAAGGAGGCAGAGCAGCAGGAGCAGGCAGCAGCTCCGGGGGCCCGCGCCGGGGATCATGGTGCCTCTGGGATGCTGGGAGGGAAAACACACACTGCTGTTGGCTTTGGCATTCCCAGCGCTCCGACCGCCGCTCCTCCACCCGCTCCTCCACCCCACAGCTCTGACGGGAGATGGCAGATTTCTTCCTCAGGGAAAAGGGGATGCAGCATTGAGAGCACCCAGATCCTGAGGGGGGACTTGTATACAGGACCACCCGCTTCTCCCCCACTCTGAGCCACTCCCTGCTCACCGTGGGGGGCTGCCAGGACACGGCTCCCGGGGGTTCTCCAGCTCCGCAGCGCCTCGGGACCCTGGGAAGAGCAGTGGGTGGTGGGAAGCAGGCAGGGCTTGTGCCTCTGCCAGCCCCAAATCCAGCTCTCCGTGGGGTGAGGAGTCACGCTCCAGCTCCCGACCACGCGTGGGTCCCCTCGGCGTCACCAGGAACGGGACACAAATCCCTCCAGGACCTGGATGCCGGCGCTCAGAGGACATGGGAGCCCAGGGGACAGAGGTGGAATTTTCACGGGGTTATATTTTAACCCGGATAATTACCATGAACCGGCTCCTTCCCCAGCTCCAACTGTAGGTGCCTTTATAGTGTTTGCCCAGAGTCAATCCTTGCCCTCTCCGCTCCTTTCATACGCGCCGGGGATCAATAAAATTGGGGTGGCACAAACCCGGGGTGCAAAGGAAGGGGCTGGGGGAGATGGGGCGGGGGGAGGACACACACGCCAGGCACGACCTGCACGTCCACTGTGGGAGGCACCCGAGAGGCTGGAGCAGGGCCTGGGCTGCCTTCCTGGGAAAACTGCACCGAGAGGTGGGCGGCGAACTCGGGATTCACAAGGACCAGGAGAGAGTAACAGTTCGCTGGTTTCATAAATGCAGCAGCCACCCTGATCCCAGTGTGGGGCTCCAGGTGTGTCCTGCCTCCTGGCTGCCCTTCCCAGGGGCTCCCGGATCTCCCTGGGACACCCCACAGCCCGTGCTGAGAGCTCGCAGGCTCCGGGCTCCTCCAAAAACGAGCCCGGGACATTTTTGAAGCCCGGCCAAGCAATTGTTCCGAAAATAACCTGGGGCCAGGATTGTGAGGAAAAGGGGCACGGGAGGACCCTGCTCCCCCATCCAGGACCCTGCTCCCCATCCAGGACCCCGCTCCCCCTCTGAAGGCTCCCACATTCCCACAGGTTTTACCAGCTTACCACCACCTTGTGAGCTTTGTTCTGGGGAGGTTTTAGCCTCCTCCTGCCAGGGCTTAGCTCGGATGCTTTGGCTTAACCCCTCTCCTCCCAAAACATGGGAAGGGAGCTCATCCAGAGGGGTGCTGCTGCTGGGTGGGGGTACCTAAGGGACCTCTGTCTCTTCACCGAGCCCGGACCCTTCCTCTGCTTCTTCCTCCCTATCCCAACCCACCCATCCAGGTGGATCCTCCCGGGCTACATGGGACATCCTGGTGACTCCCAGAGGGGCTGGCACACGGCCCACGGTGCCAAAGGTCTGCCCCAGTGGCCGCGCGTCCCGGGACGGGGGACATTGGCTGCCCTTCCCTGCCCGTGCCAGCCAAGTGCTCCCCATATCCCAGATCCCGCCCGGAGCCATCCCGCCGGGCCGCACACCGGCTGTCCCGGCCCGTGCCAAGGCACGCAACCCCCGCCGGTGCCAAAATCGCTCCCAGGGGTTTCTCCCGAAGCCGGGCTGAGCCGGATACACCCAGGGTGGAAAACCGGACCTCAACTTCTGCCCCAGCTGCCAAAGGAAAGGCAGGAAGCGCCGCGCAGGCAGAGCCGGGCAGCGGCAGGAGCCGCACGGGCTCGCTCCGTTTTAGGGCAAAAACGGGGTGGAGGAGCCGCCCCTGCGGAAGGGCCCAAAGAGGGACATCCCGAGGGGCTCCGACCCCCCGAAAGCCACGGGGAGCTCAGGGCAAGGCGGGAGGGTGCCAAGCACATCCACCCATCCATCCATCCATCCATCCCCGCATCCCGGGGCAAAGGGGGTGTGCAGCGAACACCCCGGAGCGCGGCCCCCTCGCCACCCCACCCGCGGAGCGTCCCAGCCTCCTGCCCGCTACCTCCAAGGGCGTCCTCCCGCCGGGATCCGCTCCCGGAGCCCGGAGCCAGCGCCTGACCTACTTTATCTCCCTCCGGGATGGGGCACAGGGACAAACCGCTGCCACGGGAAGGGACGGATGCCCGGCGAGGGATGTGCCCGGGAGCGATGCCACGACAGCACACAACAGAGCTCCCAAGGCCACGCCAATCCTTCCCATCTCCCTGGGCTTCACTTCCCAGCGGTCATCGATCCGCCAGCGGGAAGGTGACGCCGGGAATAAGAACCGCTGGCAAAGCCATGACCCCGGCGACGTCAGACCCGCGCCAGCTCTTCCCGAAATCCCGCTCGCTGGCGCAAGACTGGAAGGGGAGGGGGGCACCGGGGGCTCCCGAAAACCCCACCGGGATGAATCCCGCTCCTGGAGCCGGCGGGGCCGAGCTCCTTCCGGAGCAAACGCTGCTCCACATGTCCCGCGGGCAGGAGGGTTTCCAGGAGCGTTTCCAAGAGGGTTTCCGTGCCCTGGGGCACGTCCCGGGGCCACGTTTCCCGGGTCATGGACCCCCCCTCTGCCCCCCCGGAGCCTCCGGGCAGTGTCTTGTCCCTTCCTCTCCCCGCGACCTCTCCCCGCAGGCCCCGGGGCGGGCAGACGGGCAGCAAACAGGGAAATATCCCGGCCAGCCCACCCTACACCGACCCCACAGTCCCGCCCAGTGCCCCCCGTGCTGGAGCTGCTGCTGCCGCCCCCCCGGCCCTGCCCCAGCCCCCCCTAGTCCCCATGCCCGGCCCTTTTGCCCCCTGCCCGGCCCCAGAGCTTGCACTGCTGGTGCCAGACCCCACAGCAGGGTCCTGCGTGCCAAAATTGGGTCCTGCACCCCATAACAGCGTCCTGCACCCCAGAGCCCACCTCCACCCGCCCCAGACCCCGCTGGCAGCCCCGAAGCGACCCCCCCACGCTGCCCCCAGGCCTTAGGCCCGTTCCTACACCCCAACCCCGCTCTCCCGCAGCCTTCCCCGCATCCTTCCCCGCATCCCGCAGGGATCCTCTCCCCCCATCCCCATCCGGGGCTCGGGGCCGGCCCCAGCGCGCTCCCTCCGCGCCCCCGCCGCGCTCCCCGCGGTGCCGCGTCCCCCGCCGGGGGTTCCCCGTCCCGTCGCACCGTTGCCCGCCCCATCCCGGCGCGGTCCCATCCCGGTGCATCCCGGCCCATCCCGGCCCTACCTCCGCTCCCGCTCCCGCCGCCGCTCGCGCGGGGCCGCGCAGGGCGCACGCTCGGCGCGCGGGCACGGGGAGCGCTCCCATTGGCTGGCGGAGACAAGGGACACGCCCCCCTCGGGGGAAGGGCCACGCCCCCTTCGCGGCTGGGGGGGGGCGGGACCCCCAAAAATCACCCAAAAAACCACCCAAAAAACACACCCAGTACCCTCAAAAACACCCAAAAACCACATACGGGACCCCCCAAAAACACCCCAAAATACACCCGGGACTGCAAAAACCACCCAAAACCACACCCGGGACCCCCAAAAACGCCCAAAACCATACCCGGGACCCCC